AAAGAGACTTTCCATGTTTCCCGCTGAACTGGAGGAACTGCACCGTGTCTCGGTGTGTAAAAGACACAAGACTAATCACTCTCATTGTGGCCTATTTCCATGGTAACTCTGCACCCAGTGGTAATTTAGCCTCACTAGCTAAAGACACAGAGCGAGTCATTATCTTAGCGCCAGGCTAGGGCCCCCCATTTAAAGATTCACACCATGAATGAACAATTAGAGACCAGATTGCTGGCCCAAGTGGCGGCGAAAGGAGACCGGGCCAGTATGTGGTCACCCCTTTGGTTGTCTGTTCATCCATCCTTCCTGCTATCCAGCAAAGGTCTTGTTACTTCAACAGTGTATGACACAAGCATTCATTTTCTCATCCTCCGAACGTCTGAGCTCAAGGACAAACAATCATCCTTGCTCAGAGTAGATAAGTGTAAATGGTGCAGACAATAATATATATAATACGTAGCGCAGAAGAAGAAGTAGAAAATGTGGCACTCATGGCCTGAGTGATAGAATAACTATGCATTCCTCTCTGGCCAATGCATTATGACATTCACCTTTTTAGCGCTCCATGCTGTAGGCTCTCTGCCTGAGAACACTGCTTTCATTAAAATGAATAAGACGGTAGCATTTACTTATTCACTGGTTAAGTGGTGTTCTCGTGAAAAATGTGCACGTGGTTGTTGAATCAAAAAAGTGTGGATGCTGAAAAGGAAGACTGCTGTTTGTATCTCGTGTTGACTGTGATCTTCTCCTAACCTCAGCCGAGCGCTTGAAAGCCCGAGTTTGCTTGAAGCTTGTTTGTGTAAAGTGTTGAGCAAACGCGTCTGAGGGGTCACGGTGGCAGGACGACATGAATCATAGTAATGTGAATATCGCTGCAGAGGTTTCAAACTTACTCACATTTTCGAGCATCTTTATCTCCTCTTATCTACATATTTTTATGTGAAACAGAATATGCGAGGCTTGATTGAATTGCTGACAAGCAGATGTGGCTTAGCAGACCTTCCTCACCTGTGTGGTTAGAGCAGCAGGAGGATAATGCTTAAATTAAAAAGTTTTAGCTTTTGAAATCCAAGAACATTCTCCTAAATTGCTGTTAATTTGCTAGCAACACATGTGTAAAGCTTGTTTTTAATACCTAGTTAGCAATTTTTATTTTGTGGGGGGGTGGAGCCTATCCTAACTGAGAGGCGGGGTACACCCTGGACAAGTCGCCAGTATGTCGCAGGGCTAACACACAGGGACAGACAACCATTCGCACTCACACCTATGGGCAATTTAGATTTTTCAATTAACATATCAAAGTGCATGTCTTTGGACTGTGGTAGGAAGCCGGAGTACCCAGGGAGAACCCACACAGCACGGGGAGAACATGCTCCACACAGAAAGACTGATGGTTGAATTGAACTCAGGACCTTCTTGCTGTGAGGTAACAGTGCTAACCACCGTGCTAACCACCGACTTAGAGGCCAGTTGGAGACCAACTAGAAACCACAAGTCAGGAGGGAAAAAATATATATTCCCCAACTAGTTGGTGAGGGGTTGCTGGCAGTCGTTGGGAAACTGATTGCTAAAGACCGAGTCATACTCACTGAGTGGCAACCACCAGTCACCAGTGTTTATTCCCTGACCAGTTGGTGAGTGGTTGCAGGAAGTTGTTTACTGTCACTGAGAGAAATTGGCTGGTCGTTTTTGTTCTTCTTCTTCTTTTTCTGCTCTGACCTTTAGCACCGCAGATTACCTGCCTCCATCTCACCCTATCCCTATCCTCTTTTGTCACACCAACCCTCATCTTTAACCATGAACCTTCCTCTTTTCTTCCTCCATCTTCAACATCCTGAATACTAAGTACGAGAAACCTGAATAGTGTCTGTGGCTGAGATGGAGATCAGTTCAGAAAAAACTAACATGGAAGGAAAGTGCAAAGTTTTGGGCACCGGTATCTTGAATTAGATTTCAGATGAAGAATATCTTAAACACTTAGAACAAGGCTGTGGTCTGAATGCTGGCAATCAATTTACAGTTCACACTCCTCAACTAGACATACATTGTGAGAGCCATCCCAAACAACAGCACACACAAACCCTCACCAAGGTCAGTGTCTTATTCACATTGTACTGTGCTGTTTCTCTTTCAGCCTCTCTCTCTCTCTCACTGTCAGGCCTTTTGTGTGCCTCCTTCTAAAGAAGCTGTCAAGCTGCACTGTTTAAGGGCTCACACGAGGGACAAAAAGCATACTTTGTTTTGTTTTGTTTGCCTGCCGTAGTGTTGGGCTGAATGAGTGAGTGGAGTGGGAGAGGGAGAGAGTGAGAGTGAGGGAGAGGTACAGAGAAGCGAGTGAGAGCTGAGTGGGGGGTAACATGTAATTTACTGTTTGCCCCACTCTACTGTACATTGCTTTAGTTATGCTAATGCTACTCATTGTCAGGCTGAAGAGATAGCCATCAATCACCTGTCAATTGGTCAATTGGAAGAAAAGAGAGAGAAAGAAAGCGAGAGTGAGAGAGAGAGAGAGAGAGAGAGAGGGCCCATGTCCCCTCCCTCCTCGTCCTCCTCTTCTTCTCCTTCTTCTCCTCTGCTACCTAGCGGACTTGGGGGTCCAGGGAAAGCCCGGCAGCTGGATCTGGATCTGGATTTGGAGTCCAGGTGGAAAGCAGGAGGAAGACCTGTGACAGCGCCATGAGAAAAATAAACATTTAAAAAATACATTTGAGAATCTGTTTTCATTCTTTGCATTTAGTCGTCTGCGTGACAAAAAGTCCTCCGAGTCTTTGTTTTCCTGTTGTTGTTGACATCTGAAGGCTTTTTAAAAAAAACGTCTAATTCTAATGTGACACCTCCAGAAACTTGCAGTGCCACTCACAGTCGTCAGCCGCTGTCAGCAGAAGACAAACCCTTTATTATGCTAGCTAATGTTAGCGCTAAGATAAGCTAACGGGCCCATTAGTGCCAGTTCATTTAGCTCGTTAGCCGGAGCCTCGGGGCTGATGACATTCATTACATATCATTAGTGCACAATTAACATGTCTCACTCTGACACCGTTGCTCCCAGTGTTACATGACACTTTTAATCATGTTTTATGAAATGTTTCCGCCGGCGTGACTTGATTTATGAGTTTTACATGACATGGCATTCATTACATTAACCAGCTGTAATCATAAATGCTTGTTCAGACTGATTCCATGCTCAGAGTTGGAATCCAGCACCTGTCCTTGTGGCTGAAAATTGGGCAGTGCTTTATTTTTTAAAAAATGTCCTCTTTCATTCTCACACTTCAGTACCTCCTTGCTGTTCATCTTTAAGGAATGCAGTTAAAATTCCTTGCAGCGTTCCACTGTGTCAAGGTAAAAAAATTTAAAGCTGGCTCTCACCATTAGAAGATATTTATAACCCAGTTATGTTGTGATTAGTTGGACTGAAGACCCAGAGATTCTATCTTGAGTGTGTCTCCCACATGTGGATTTTTAAAAGGGTGTTATGTCTATTAAAGGGCTGCTCTCTCATCAGTTTCAGGTCACTTGTTGCTGGGAGTACCACCTGGTTTCTTTAAAACTATTGATTATTTGGGATGGTAAGTTGCACTAGAATAAAAGTCTGGTTTCTTTGATGTTTGTAGGTTTAAACCACTGAAATAGCCTTTTATTCATCAACTGTGAGGCCATAGACTGTATGTAAAAAATGGACATGTACTTAAAGCAAATTTTATGCCCAGAGTCATTGCTGTCATTTCATTACAGGTAAATTTTCCATGTAAGCTTATTACGTAAGTACATGCGAAATGTTAAATTCAAAGGATTCTACTTAAATGACATTTACCTGATTTTTAAATGAGGATTTATTATCATTTTATATACTTCATTTGCATTTCTCTCCAAATTATTGCTTCATTTTTATTGAGGATTAAAAATAATTTCTTTGAGTGCAGTGATCTTGATCCATTAGTAAGCGAAGTCCAAAGTCCAATGGCCAGTCATACAGCATATCCTGCTGTATCCTACTTTTCATTTTCACGTGAACCATAAATCATGATATGAACACAATTTTGTGTTAAATAAGATATAAAAGTAGCAAATGATAGAGAGATGTAAAAAAAACATAATGGCCCTGTTTTTAAGTCAGAAGTGATTTCTTGAATAAAGCCGTATCTACATTAAAGTTAGATTTCACTTTAATTCATATGAAAATGGTGTTTCTTACTATAATGCTGAAAGTTTGCAGAATTTGAGAGTGGATAGATACTGTTTTTTAACATGAGGTGTGCTGTATTGTTTTATTTTATTGATGAAATTAACCCATTTTGGTCCTTTGTGAGGCACTTAAACAGCAAGATTGTGTTGTGACCATACAATTCCACTGAGAGTTGACTGTATTGACTGTATTTTAGGTAGAAATCTTACTCGGGTTTAAATTAGGTGGTTGCTTTACAGATCTCTAAATGTTTTCTGTCAGTTTCATTAAAAAACAACAATCTTTACTGTTTTAAATTCGTTTAAAGTACAGTTGTCATCACATTGCTTCAGTTAGTTCCTGTGCAAGAAAACCTTGAGAAATCCGTCTTATACAAAGATCTAAGAATGCTCAAGACAGTCCGACACCACCCACACACACAGACACACACACGCTCACACAAACAGTATACTCTTTTTTCTTCCTATCACACTCATCCACCCACTGATTCACACCCAGACAGAGACAGAGTGAGCAGTATTGATTTTGCTGTCTCCAGGCTGTTGAGAGTGTGTACACTTGCGTGAGTGTGTGTGTGTGTATAAAAGGGATTAAGGCCTCGCTCAGCTGAGATACCATCAGCCATCAGCCCTGCTAGTCCGCTTCGGGCTTTCCCGGCTGCCGCATTGTCTATTCTGCTCCGCTATGTGAAAAATGTTGAATATCAACAATGGCTTTCAGTGGTGTATTGTTGAGTTTTTGTATGAACTAATCTTGCCTCAGTGAAAGAGACCTAGGGCTTGGACAAAACGTCTAGAGCCACAGCATTCCTAGCTGGCTCTCCCCTTGAACACTGAGCAGAAGGCTGGGGCTCAGGGAGGCAGAGTGGAGGGGAAGGCAGGCTGGAGGAGAGGCAGGGAGAGGGAGAGCTGAGGCCGGGGTACGAGCTCCAAGGCTGGGGGGGATAAGGGGATGGCAAGCCAGGGGATGCTGGGTGGAGGGAGGCGGGGGAGAAAGTGAGAAGGCGGGAGGGCAGGGGATGCAGCCCAGCTAAGGTGAGAAAAGGTAAGGCAGTGGTGACTGATAACAGGCCGCACTGAATGCTAGTAGAATTAGGTGACCAGGTAGCGAAGATGGAGTGTTAGTGAAGAAATAAATGACTTGTCACAGAAATAGTGTAGGTCATAGTGTAGGAGGACATTTAATCTGCAGAAGTGTGAAGCCTGTTAGGAGGCTAGGCTGGAGGATGGAGGGAAAAAAGAGAAACAAGACGCTTGCAACAAGACCAAAAGAAAAAAAAGGAGAGCCAGAAAATCAGTATTAGTGTTTTGTGAGTGTGGAGTCTCCTTTCCTTTTCCTGCCATGGATGTAATGCTGGTTTGGATTACATCCAATCAGATGAGAGGACTGTGGCCCTTGTCATAATGACAAGCATGACATCATGGCAAGGTAAGCTGACTGAAAAGATCGGGCTGGATGATTTACTGACTCCCTGATTCCCTGTTACCGGCTGAGCGATGCGGAGTTGTACGATTGGCTGTGCGAATATCTTCATATCCTTTCTCCTTCTTTTTTTTGTCTTCTTCCTCTTTCGCTCTCACTCTTATTAAAAGCTGGCTATGCCATGAGAGAGCCCAGGTGCGGGTGCAGATGTAGAGGGAGTGAGGAATAAGTGTCTCTAAAGCAGGCCTTCCTGGCTGTGCTAGTGTTTTCATGCAGGTTTATCTGGTAGCAAAATGCTGGCGCTGCTGTGTGTGTCTCTGTGTGTGTTGCCATCTCACTCGGCATGCATCCTTCCTGTCCTGCTGTGTCTGAGGGTCCCCCTGCGGGGAGAGGAAGACAGCTAGACGTGGGTTGCAGGAAATGGTTATTTTTTTTTCTGTTTTTTGGCTCTGTTTGGAGCTGTGTGTGTTCATTTCAGAGTTGTGGTAGAGTAACATTATAGTGAATTATCAGCTGAACACAGCAGCTGTACAGAAGTCCTGCAGGCATTCTCTCAAGCAGCTGACCAGGACTTCCATACATGTCTCAAGAGCAGATACCTTGCTAAAGGGCACTGCAGAAGAGGAGCAGAAGATTGTGTCCCAGTTCTTTTCTGCTCTGTTAGTGTTTTTGCAGTTAGTTTAAGATTATGAGTATTCTTGTATACTAACATTTGTTATGCTGTTACCATAAAGCTGTCATTTTTTACGGTAACTCACCGCAATCTCAAAACCTACTTAAATTGTGGATTTTAGGCCGCAGCGACCATATGCACTTTTCCTGCTCACATTTGACCAAAGGTCAAAGCTCAAAGGTGAAAAGTCTCTCCTGCTCTTGTCTTTATCCTCTAACTTGAATCCTGCATTTCTGTGCACGTTAAGATGTATTACACAATGCACACAAGCATGAAGAAGATATGAGAAATTGTAAAAAAAAGTTCAATTTTTCTCATTTTTCTGTCATTTCCTTTCAGAGAGATAAATGCATCCAGCAGTGCTGTAGTTTTCTCTTTTGTAGTAAATCGCAAGAAGTGCTCTCAAATTATTCTCAACAGCCTGGTGTGTAGCACCGTGGAGTCTGCAGGGTTCAACTTGGTGTGCCTGTGTGTCTGTGTGTGTGCACGTGTGCCTCTTTGGGGTCACTGCCACAGAAACTTGGAAGTGAGAGATGGTTGGCTTAACCCCTCACCCCCAATACATACATAGAGTCTCTCTCTCTCTCTCTCTCTCTCACACACACACACACACACACACACACACACACACACACACACACACACACACACAGACACACGGATATGTGAACATTGGTGCAGTCTAATCGCTGGCCTCTGGTGATTTGTCCTCTCAGCTTGAAGCCATGTCATTCCTCCCAGCTCTCCTCACAATTACAGCCCTGAACTGAACTAGAAAATCTGCTCCAATCTAGCAATTAGTCCTGAGGCCACTGACTGTGTGTGTGTCTGTGTGTGTGTGTGTGTCCTGAAGACCGAGCAGGATCACTAAAGTTGACGACAGGCCAAATAGCGATTCTTTTCATTTGAGTCGGAGACATGTGTGCCGACGGCAAGTTAATATTCCTACCTTTTCTTGTAATTGTTGTAAACAAATCGGTGCAAGATGATTGTTGGGCTCACACCAATGACAGTATTCCTCAAAATTAAGACCGCATTCATTCCCGAGACCCTTTTAAAAGATGCTGCTGCAAGTTATTAGTCACCTTCTTTGTGTCTCTGCCTGCTGCGAAATTAAGCAACTTTTAATTTGAGCTCCATTTGTACTCAATGAACTGATCCACCTTCACAATGTGTGCCTCTAAAGCGCCAGAGTGTTTTGTCACAGGACGTCAAAAGATACAGTTAGCATGACCCATCGGGTTGTGAAAGAAGGTGTTGCGACTTGACTCGGTGTACTTTTCGGGAAGATTTTGAAACTTTTCCATCTCTGAAAATCTCTTTTCCACCTTTTAGATTGCCTTTAATACCCTCTTCAGATTTTCTTCATACAAAGAAATTGCTCCAAAGAAATGTGCAGTGCAGAAACTGCTGCTCTTTTTATGAGTTTATCTTCATTGGTAATTGTTTTAATTTTTCAACTGCATTACGGTGGAATTAAAATGGGGCCCTTTAAACCGTCTGCCCTCTGGGTGCACGCTACAGAAAAACACAATCTTCTACAGTTCCTCACATGCTATTTTGGATATGAAAAGTATTTTTATTTTCACATACTTTGTCATTAAAATAGCCTAGAGCTTGTACGGTACTCTGACCTCACAGAGACATGTAGTGACCATGTTGTAAGTGTCTGAACCGAATGAGAGATGGCCTCGGGTTCATAGGGGTAAAGCATGGAGCTGGAAAGTCCTTATAAGAGTAGCAAATCTGAATGAAAGTGGGAGTGTGTGAGGTGGAATGAGAGGAGGAAGTGGGCAAAGGAGGAGAGGAGGAGGCTGCGGTCAGAGAGGGATGTGGTGCGGGGGAAGGAGGTGGGGAGGGAAAGGTTTTCATTGCCAGGGGGGCAGGCAGGCCTGACTGCTCAGCAACAGAGATGCTTAGTGCCGCCTGGCTTCCTCCTAAAGACTCGGCCTCCTTTCCCCCAAACCCACCACCCCCTTCTGTCCATCTCGCTCCTGTGTCCCCTCTTTCTGCTCTGCCACCACTTTTCCCATCACTTCCCTCTCTCCTCCTTTTGTACCTTCTCTCCTTCACCCTCCAGTTGCTCCTGCTCGGTCTCTTTTTCTTCCTCCATTTCTCTCACTTCCTTAGTTTCTCTCCCGCCCCCCCACCTACCCCACTCCACGTCTGGGCCATTACAGACACTCAGCAATGGACTGAGGAGGGGCGGGGGTGGTTGTGGTGGTTGGATGGAGAGATTGAGGGGGGCACAAAAGGCCTGAGATGCAGCGGCCCGACGAGAGTGGCTGGCTTTGAAAAGAAGCCGGGCAGCTTCTTAATGCAGCGAGTGGACGGACAGACTCGGGCAGACAGACAGAGCGGACTCAGCCCTTTATTCCCGTCCTTTAGTTGATGCCTGTTTTCGGCCAAAAAAGCACATCATGTGCTGTGTGCCCTTCCCTCTGCGCCTGATGTTTTATCAAACACATTAAGATGAGATGGAGGGATAGGAGGGAGGGAGGAGGAAACGAGGGTAATATAGCTGAAGGCCAGCCACTTAAGAGGCTGACAGAGAAAAACTTTTTTTCCGCTCCCTGAAGCAAAGGAGAGGCGCACGCACCTGGACGGGATAGAAGTGCGTGCGTTCGCTTCTTTTAGAGGTCGCTCCTCTTTTATTGTACATTAAGACATTACGCATTAGTGTCTGTGTGTTTTTAGGGTTAATGCTGAGGAGGAAAATATTGACGGCGCAGCACAGTAAGAGAGCTGAAAGCGCTGCTCGATGTTTTTCTTTTTTTAATTTGTTCCAAAAACAGCTTTTGAAGATGGAGCTTAACTGACAGACCAACTGCAGTAAAATGCTAACATAATCAAACATATCTTGGTATGACGTTGGTGATGGGGTTTTTTGAGTCAGAAACCTAAAGCTTTTCACTTTTTTTCTTTTTTTTTCTTGCTGTTAAGAGATCAATGAATAATAAATACAAAATAAATACAAACGCACAACTCTTTGAGACACTTATCTTTGTGACACACTATCAAACCAGAACAACAGTTTTGTTTAAAAGGCTTCCGTAGTAAACAGATGAGCTGAATGGATTTAGTGTCCAGGTTCCATCTTTTATCAACCTAATTCTTCAACCAATTATGGAGGTTTGTATTCGGCAGTATTATTTCACTGAGATGGGAGGGGTCCTCAAATGATATTTTCTGCCTGCATTTATTTACTTGCGTTGGCTGTCTCTTTGTTGTGGGTGGTGTAGGAGTGTTATTATGGATTTGGCTCTAGGAGCTTAGCTGCTCCGTGATTCTGATATCAGCTGGACTTTGATCAAATGCAACGAGCTTGAAATCCACTTTAATCGGCACTGCTGTGTTGGTTTAGCAACAAGGAGACTTCGCAGCAACATTTCTGAGGAGCTGAGGAATAAATGCACGCTTGTTGACACTTGTTTGTGCTCAAAACTTTAAGCTAAGTTGCACTAAAGACACATTTTGATGATCAAGGTTGTAATCTGGATGCAAGGGCTAGGATGACAAGCAGTAAGTAAGTGAATCATATATTTTTCCTTGTAGTTTGGCTTTTCAAGTTATTTTGTTTGGGTTCTATCAGCCAAAGTGACTGCCTATTAATTAAGTCAGAGTTGGGCTGCTGCAGTTTTTCTGCTATTTAACATATGTGAAACTCCATCAACATTTTGGTATGGTCAGGTTTTTTTAAAAAGGTTTATAACCATACATTGTGTGTAATTGTGTGTGTCATTCAACAACTGATGCATTCACATGTAATTGTAATTAATCTGTTAGAAATGCATAAGAATAAGCACGGGTCTGTGGAAGCTGCTTTATTGCTCTGCCATATTTGAATACCGTGACTGGAAAGGACATCTCCCTTTTTACTAGTTTTAGATATTTAGCAAGACACTGGCTACATAGGCGGAGGAGAAAAAAATTCATAGGCATTAATGTGCCGTGGAAGGACATTTGAATCTGCGTCTGCACCTTCAGACTCGAAATATGAAGAATAATATCTAAGTTTTACCATCTAATAAGAGGTCTCCTTCAACAAAGAAGTGAAAACACGAAGAAAACAGGCAACGCCACCGGCATCTTAATAAAATGTCGCCCTTCTTTCATGCTCATTTATTCCTGATGTTGCGACAGTTACTCTCTGTCAGCAGATGACGTGTGACCCTCCTGTCTCCGGACAATGAACTGGGTAAGCAGCTAAGTTAGCTTTTTGAAAGCTATCGTTAGGCTTCAGTGTCAGACAAATCACATTTTCCCTATGATAAACAATTTGAATAAATGAGTTTATTCACTAAGTGTCACTTCAAAGAAGGTTTCACTACAT